TGGCAGCAGCGGCAGCAGCAGCAATAGCAGGGGCGGCAGGGATAATGAGGACTGCAGCGTAGGAGAAGTGAGGGTCAGCGGCAGCTTGGGAAGCAGCAGGGGCGCGATTAGGAAGCAGCAGCAGCAGCAGCAGCAGCAGCAGCAGCAGCAGCAGCAGCAGCAGCAGCAGCAGCAACTGCAGACGTGCAGCTCAGCAGCAACAGCAGCAACAGCAACGGCGACAGCAGCAGCAGCAACAGCAGCATCTGCCTACTTGGGACGTTAGCCGCGCTACAAATAACGGGAAGGCCGCCGCAAAAGTTGTTCCCGCAGCAGCAGCCGCTGCTGCTGCTGCTGCTGCTGCTGCTGCTGCTGCTGCTGCTGCTGCGCAGCAGTTTGCTGTCCGTACACCTGGAAGGAGGCCTTCCCTGCAGCAGCAGCACACCTTCTCTCGTCAGCAGCGCAGCAAAACCATTTCCCGCAGCCACCTGCACAATAGGCGGCAGCGGCACGAGGCCCAAACTGCTGCTGCTGCTGCTGCTGCTGCTGCTGCTGCTGCTGCAGTCTGCATGCAGGATTTGCTGCGGGCTGTAGCGGGGCTCCGTGTCCCCGACGCCGAGCTGGCCGTAGCAGTTGAGGCCCCAGGCCCAAGCAAAGCCTTCTGCTGCTGCTGTTGCTGTTGCTGCTGCTGTTGCTGCTGCTGTTGCTGCTGCTGCTGGGCTTGCTGCTACGGCTGGCGCTGCTGCTGCTGCTGCTGCTGCTGCTGCTGCTTCCGGCGCTTCTGGGGAGCCAGCAGCAACGACGGTGAAGCCCTCTCCAGCAGCAACGTGGACAATGGGCTGCGGCAGCAGCAGCAGCTGCGGCTGCTGCTGCTGCCCTCCTGCTGCACCTATGCCTAACTCCCCACACAAGTTGCTGCCCCAAGTGAGGCAGCAGCCGTGCTGCGTAGCAGCAACAACGTGCTGCTTGCTGCAGCAGACAGCAGCAACGCTGCAGCGCAGCAGCGCCGGCAGCAGCCGCGGCACGAAGCACCACTGCACCTGCTGCTGCGGCTGCTGCTGCTGCAGCAGCTCCCCGCTGCAGCAAACTCCCAAGCCAAAGACACCTGCTGCTGCAGCAATAAGGGCATAAGAGACGCTGCCAGCAACAGTGGACGCTTTGCTGCTGTTCCCTACGCGAATGCCCTTCACTTCCAAGCTGCTGCTGCTGCTGCTGCTGCTGCTGCTGCTGCTGGGTTGGCGCTTGACCGACAGCAGCGCCCCCTCAGCGGTGGTCAGCAGCAGCAGCTGTTGCTGCTGCTGCTGCTGCTGCTGCCGCGGCTTTAGTGGCTGCGGCTGCTGCTCAATGCAGCAGAGAGAAGTCACTTTGGGGCCCCCCAAGTACCGCAGCGCAACACTGCAGCAGGAGCTGCAGCTGCAGCAGCAAGTTGCTCTTGCTGCTGCTGCGGCTGCTCTGAAGTTGCTGCTGCAGCAGTCGCTGCAACAGCAAACACATGCCAGACTAGTCCCCTCGCTGCTGCTGCTGCTGCTGCTGCTGCTGCCTCCGCCGAAGAAACAGATGCAGTGCGTGGATTGGCCTGCGTTGCTCTGACCAGCAGCAGCAGCAGCAGCAGCAGCAGCAGCAGCAGCAGCAGCAGCAAGCATGTTGCTGCCACTTGTTTGCTGCGCGTCTGTGTCAATTTCATCTTCAGTGTCTGCTGCGGCTTCGTCGTGATTGTCTGCTGCTGCTGCAGGCTGCCTCAGTTGCTGCTGCTGCTGCTGCTGCTGCTGCTGCTGCTGCTGCTGCTGCAGCGCAGCCACAGCCTGCAGCAGCCTGCGCCTGTGCAGCGTGGGGCAAGGAAGCTCCAAGGCAGCAGCAGCTGTCTGTACACCTGAATTTAGCTGCTGCAGCACAACGCCCTGCAGCGCGAGGTGTCTCTGCAGCTCCCCACAAGATCTCTCATGCAGCACAAGCACTTCTCCCATACTCCCTTCGCTGCTGCTGCTGCTGCTGCTGCTGCTGCTGCTGCTGCTGCTGCTGCTGCTGCTGTTGCTGCTGCTGCTGCAGCGACAGGGAGACTCTGAGCAGGCCTGGTTCCATTCTTCCTGGTGTTGCTGCTGCAGCAACACGGCCGAAGCAGTCATCTGCTGCTGCTGCTGCTGCAGCTGCTGCTGCTGCAGCTGCAGCTGCTGCATCTCTGGCTTGCACTGCTAGAAAGCAGCAAACAAGTGACCCTTGCTCGGCGCATATGCTGTAAACCCTAAACCCTAAACCCTAAAACCTAAACCCTAAACCCTCAACCCTAAAGCCTAGACTCTAAACCCTAGACCCTCAGCCTTAGGCGCTGCAGGGAAATCAAAACTCTTTCAGTATGGGATCTTAGCTGCTGCTGCAGCTGCTGCTGCAGCTGCTGCTGCTGCTGCTGCTGCTGCTGCTGCTTGTTTGTCTTCTTTCTCAGGGGGCCTCCTGCTAAGGACTATCTTCAAATAATCTTTTTAATCAACAAATCTAAAAACAAGTTTTCTCTGATGTCTCGTTTTGTCTCCTTTTCTCTTTTTGTCACTTTTTGCTTCTTTTTGCCTTCCTTGCTGCTGCAGCATTTCACTTCTAGCTGCTGCTGCTGCTGCTGGCCTCAGCAGCAGCAGCAGGGGCCCCCTGGGGGCCCCAGGGGCCCCCCAGGGTACAGCCACAAGTGGGGCTGGCTGGGGGCCCCGGGGGCCCCCAGGGGGCCCCCCGAGTGTGCCGGGGCCTCGCAGACCCATCGCCTGCTGCTGCTGCTGCATGCAAGCTGCTGCATGCAGCAGCAGCAGCAGCAGCAGCTGCTGCTGCTGCTGCTGCTGCAGGCTTAAGAGATTAAAAGTATTAATCCAATCAAAATGTAATGCAGTTTAAATTATTCACTTTTGAGTTTCAGAAGTTTCAGATTCTGCAGACGGCGCTGAGGTGTATCGACAGTGCAGGACTGCAGTGTCTGTACACCCGAACTCCCTGGCTCCGTCTGTTTCGTCTTTCTTTTCAAATAAAGGATTAAATTAATTCATTAAATTCATATAAATGATTTATTTCAAATATAAATGATTTATTTCAGACAAAAAACCACCAAATCCAGCTTTGTTGACGAATATGAACACTCTCGGGACCTTACAGGCTCTGGGGGCCCCCTGGGGGCCCCCTGGGGGCCCCCTAGGGGCCCCCTGGGGGCCCCCTAGGGGCCCCTGGGGGCCCCTGAGGCCCTGGGCCCTTAGCTGGGGGCCCCCATTTAGCCATTTAAGAGTTTAAAGGCAGGATTTAAGATTGTTGGGCAATATATTGTTCAGTTGCTAGGGTTTAGGGTTTAGGGTTTAGGGTTTAGGGTTTACGGCTGAGGGTTTAGGGTACAGGGCCAAGGGTTTATAGAGGTTTTTTGTTCTTCCGCAAGGCGGCAAGGCGCCTTCGCAGCCTTGTGAGCCACGATTTAGGGTTTGGGGTTTAGGGTTTAGGGTTTAGGGTTTAGGGTTTAAGGTTTAGGGTTTAGGGTTTAGGGTTTTGAAGGGTTTAAGCCTTAGGACATATTTGCTGCAGCGCCCCTGACCATGGCCCTCTCCCAGGGGCCCCTAAACCCTCAGGGGCCCCTAAACCCTCAGGGGCCCCTAAACCCTCAGGGGCCCCTAAACCCTCAGGGGCCTCTAAACCCTCAGGGGCCCCTAAACCCTCAGGGGCCCCTAAGGGGGCCCCCTGACCTTTTTAAAGAAGCAGAAGTGAAGCTGCGAGAGATGGACTTCAGCTCCTTTCTCCTCCAGCAGCAGCAGCAGCAGCAGCAGCAGCAGCAGCAGCAACAGCAGCATCAACAGCAGCAGCAGCAGCAGCAAGTACGCGGGGAGGTTTTTGGCCTTGCAGGCCTACAGGGACAGCACATGGAGTTCGACAAGCTTCCACTTGCTGCTGCTGCTGCTGCTGCTGCAGGCAGAAGCAAGCGCAGCCAGAAGAAAGCAGCAGCTGCATGCAGCAGCAGCAGCAGCAGCAGCAGCAGCAGCACGGAAACTCCCCACGATGTAGCAGCAGCAGCAGCAGCCAGAGCAGCAGCAGAAGCTCTTGTTGCCGCTGCTTCTCGCGACGCGCCACTCCCATCGGGTGCAGCATCGACTGCAGCAGCAACTGCAGCAGCAGCAGGCGCTGCTGCTGCTGCTGCTGCTGCTGCTGCTGCAGGGCCCAGGGTTTGGGCCGCAAGCCACTGCAGCGGGGCTTTGCTGCTGCCCGGGCTGCTGTCGCTGCCGCAGCAGCTGCTGCTGGCTGACGAAATTGTCTCTTCCCAGCTGCGGCCCCCAGCAATCTGCAACTTATGCCAGCAGCAGCAGCAGCAGCAGCAGCAGCAGCAGCAGCAGCAGGAGCCGGACTGCGGCAACACTGTGGGGGCGACAGGGGAATCTGAGCGGAGTGCCGCTGCAGCAGCAGCACCACCAGCCACAGCAGCAGCAGCAGGAGCGGGAGCAGCAGAAGGAGCAGGAACAGCAGCAGCAGAAGCAGCAAGAGGAGCAGCAGCAGAAGCAGCAGCAGCAGCAGCAGCAGCAGCAGAAAAGACACAAGGGCCCTATTTTACTAAATGCAGCCGTGTGCAGCTGCTGGAGCAGTTGCGGAGCTCCTCTGAAGCGCCGCCAGTCCTTAGCAGCAGCAGCAGCAGCAGCAGCAGCAGCTGGCGGTTTTGGCAGCAGCAGCAGCAGCAGCAGCAGCAGCAACACCGCAGCACTTCTGAGTGGACGCAGCAGGAAGCAGCAGCAGAGCAGCAGCTGCTGCTGCACTTCCTGCCGCCCCCCGCGGGCCTGCGGTGGTCTTCAGTTGGCTCTCAAGTCTATGACTGGGGGGCGCGCACCTACTACGCGCAGCAGCAGCAGCAGCAGCAGCAGCAGCAGCAGCAGCAGCAAGAGCAGCAGAGGGAGCAGCAGCAGCAGCAGCAGCAGCAACAGTTGGCTCTGCAGAACAGTGCACTGGCAGGTCCAAAAAGCAGCGCTGGGGTCAGCGAAAGCAGCAGCAGCAGCAGCAGCAGCAGCAGCAGCAGCAGCAGCAGCAGCGGCAGCAGCAGCAGTGGGCCGTCCTTGCCGCCTGTGTTGAACTTTATCGCTGGCTATGCTTTGCAAGCAGCAGCCATGCACCAGCAGCAACAGCAGCAGCAGCAGCAGCAGCAGCAGCAGCAGCAGGCTGTTGCAGAAACGGCTGCAGCGCTGCAGGTACGCCACACTACAGTGCTTAAGCAAGAGCAGCAGCAGCAGCAGCAGCAGCAGCAGCAGCAGCAGCAGCAGCAGGTTGCTGCGGGTTTGGTGGCTGCAGGTGGCGCTGATTAATTTGTATAAAGGAGGAGACAGACTGAGGGGCCACAAAGACGACGCAGAAGCAGACACGGAGGTGCCTCTTGTCTCAATCAGGTATTTTGCTGCTGCTGCTGCTGCTGCTGCTGCTGCTGCTGCTGTTGCTGCTGTTGCTTCTGGAAGCTCTTTTGCTGCTGCTGCTGCCGCTGCTCGAGCCTCTGCGGCGGCTGCTGCTGCTGCTGCTGCTGTGGCCTCTGTGGCTGCCGCTTTTCAGGCCTGTTCTGCGGCTGCTGCTGCTATGGCTGCTGCTGCTGCTGCTTCTGCTGTGGCTGCTGCTGCTGCTGCTGCACCCTCTATTGCTGTTGCTGCTGTTGGTCACGCTGCTGCTGGTGCTGCTGCTGCCTTTTCGTGAACAGCAGCGCAGCTGAGATGCTCTGCCAACTGCCGCAGCCCAGGCCTTTTTGCTATTGCTGCTGCTGCTCTCCTAAACAGCAGCAGCAGCAGCAGCAGCAGCAGCAGCAGTCTGGCGAACTGTTGCTACTCTTTGCTGCACTTCGTTTTGGGTGTATCTGCAGCTTGGGCCTTCCCTGCATCTTTCTTATTGGCGGCAGCACACGACAGTAGGAGAAGCGCTAGTTGCTGCTGCTGCTATGCTGCTGCAGCAGCAGCAGCAGCAGCAGCTGCTGCTGCTGCTGCTGGTTTGCTGCTGCTGCTGCTGCTGCTACTGCTGCAGGTCTTTGCCTGCCGCGCCAGGTTTCACCCGCACTTCTGCTCTTGCTGCTGCTGCTGCTGTACCGCTCGTTTTGCTGCTGCTCTTGCTGCTGCTGCTGCTGCTGCTGCTGCTGCTGCAGGCAAGAGCCCCTGCCGGTGGTCCTGCGTTCTGGAGATGTGGTGATCTTATCGCGCGCAGCTCGCCTGGCCCTTCACGGTGTGCTGCTGCAGCTGCTGCTGCTGCTGCAGCTGCTGCTGCTGCTGCAGCTGCTGCTGCTGCTGCAGCTGCTGCTGCTGCTGCAGCTGCTGCTGCTGCAGCAGCTGCTGCTGCACTTCCTGCATGCGCAAAAGCACGGAGGGCTGCTGAAGCACACGCGTCCTGTGCTGCTGCTTTGCTGCTGTGCTGCTGCTGCTGCTGCAGGGGTCCCTAAGCTTCTCTACTACACGCCTAGCCAGCCTCCACCTACTGCAGCTGCAGCGAGGCGGACTGTTGCTGCTGCTGCTGCTGCTGCTGCTGCTGCTGCTGCTACTGCTGCTGAAGAACAGCAATCCAGCAGCGGCAGCAGCAGCCAGAACCACGCAGATACAAACAGTTCTCGAGAAAACCACCCAAAGCTGCTGTTGCTGCGCAACGAACAAGTGGGGCAGCAGCAGCAGCAGCAGCAGCAGCAGCTGCTGCTGCTGCAGCAGCAGCAGCTGCTGCTGCTGCAGGTGGAGTTAATGGACTATGCTCTGTGTCTGCCTCATTTGCTGCGGGCTGAGAGGGCTTTGCAGGGGCTGCTGCAGCAGCAGCAAGACAGAGTTTTGTTTTGGCAGCAGCGGCTGCTTCAGGTGTATAGGCAGCTGCAGCAGCTGCGGCTCAATGTCAGCTGCCGCGGGGTGTAGATACACCTCAAGAAGACACAGGAAGCAAAAAGACAAAAAGAATTAAATATTTAAATTTAGAGAAACAAAAAGATAAATAAAAACAAAAAAGAAGCAAAAGAGGAGAACAAATAAATAAAATAGACTCAAGCAGAAGCAGCTGCTGCTGTAGCTGCTGCTGCTGTTGTTGTTGCTGCTGCTACTGTTGTGCCTGCCGCTGCTGCGGCGCAGCCAGCAACTCTGCAGCAACAGCAGCAGCAGCAGCTTTGTCAGCAGCAGCAGCGGTTGCTGCTGCTGCTGCGGCAGCAGCAGCAGCAGCTGCGGCAGCAGCGACTGCAGCAGCAGCTGCACCTACGGCAGCAGCAGCAGCAGCATCTGCAGCAGCGGCAGTAGCGGTAGGAGCAGCAGCAGCACCCAGCAGCAGCAGCAGCGACAGGAGCAGTAGCATCACGCACAGCAGCAGCAGCAGCACGCACTGCAGCAGCAGCAGCACGCACAGCAGCAGCAGCAGCCACAGCAGCAGAGAGCAGCAATCGCAGTAGCAGCAGCCACAGCAGCAGAGAGCAGCAATCGCAGCAGCAGCAGCCACAGCAGCAGCAGCAGCAGCAACACGGAAGAATAGCAACATCAGCAGCAGAAACGGGATAGTGCGTGTCTTGGCGTTTGCAGCAGCAAGTTGTTTCTCTAGATAGGACTAAACCCTCGGGCCCAAACCCTAAACCCTAATTTGCTGATCCTAAACCCTAATTAGCCGATCCTAAACCCTAATTTGCGGATCCTAAACCCTAAACCCTGATTCGCCGATCCTAAACCCTAAACCCTAATTCGCCGATCCTAAACCCTAAACCCTAATTCGCCGATCCTAAACCCTAAACCCTAGTTCGCCGATCCTAAACCCTAATTCGCCGATTCTAAACCCTAAACCCTAATTCTTCGATCCTAAACCCTAAACCCTCGTCCTGAACAGCGCGTAGTCTTTGTGGGGAGACCTTAGCAGCAAATATCTCAAGATGAAGACTCAAGGGCGCAGCCGAACGGAGGGGGTTTAGGGTTTAGGGTTTAGGGTTTGGGGTCTAGGGTTTAGGGCTTAGGGCAGCCGGAAGAGAGCTTCACACTTCAGAAATCTGCTGCTTTCTAGGGTTTAGGGTCCAGAAATGCAAATTAGGGTTTGGGGCCTAGGGTTTAGGGTTTGGGGTTTAGGTTTTGGGGGCTTGTGGCTGAAGCTAGCTGTCGATTGTGGTTGCTGCTGGCTGTAGGGTTTCGGTCGTAGGGTTTAGGGTTTAGGGTTTAGGGTTTGCATTTTAGGCGATGCATGGAAAATTAATGAGGAAACGGAAATCTTGGTTTACCAGCAGCAGCAGCAGCAGTTGCTGCTGCTGCTGCTGCCACTGCTGCTGCTGCTGCTGCTCTCGAGTCAACGGAGAGCAGCACTAGCGATGCTGCTGCTGCTGCTGCTGCTGCTGCAACTCAGCGGTCTTTGCCTCAGTTTTTTGGTTTTGTTTTATAATAAGAAGAAAATAAATGATTAAATAAATAATTAATTTAATTCCTTTGCTGCTGCTCGCTGAAGCGCCTCGAAGGCTCTTCTTGCTGCAGCCTTGGGGGGCCCCGTTGGTTTGCTGCAGCAGCAGCTCCTGCAGCAGCTGCTAGAGCTCTTGCTGCTCCCACAAGATTATGTGTGCTGCGTTGCTGCATAAGGCGCAGCAGCAAAAACCAGCAGCAGCTGCAGCAGCAACAGCAGCAGCAGCAGCAACAGCCGCGGCAGCAGCAGCAGCAGCAGCAAGCAGCTCACCGGAGCCGCTTCAAGGAACTCTCTCCAAACTGTTCTTTCCTTTTTATTTCTGCTGCTTTGCTGCACACACATTATCACTGGCAGCACCACTGAGAGCTCCGGGCTTCAGCAGCAGCAGCAGCAGCAGCAGCAGCAGCAGCAGCAGCTACAGCTGCAGCAGGAGCGTTGACAGCAGAATTAATGGAGTCCACGAGGTACAAGGCCCTGCCGGTCCAGGAGTACCAGCAGAGGCAGCTTCTTGTGCTGCAGCAGCTGCAGCAGCAGCAGCTGCAGCAGCAGCTGCAGCAGCTGCAGCAGCAACAGCAGCAGCAAATCTGCCTCCAGCCACCCAGCAGCGACTTCTGGCTCCCCAGCAGACACCGCGGGCTTTCAGGGACTTGCCCTTCAGAGGGCAGGAGCCACACGCGCAGCAGCTGGTGCAACAGCAGCAGCAGCAGCAGCAGCAGCCGCAGCAGCAACCGCAGCAGCTACAGCTGCAGCTACGGACATGGCGGCAGCAGCAGCAGCAGCGGCAGCGGCAGCAGCCACTGCAGGCAGCAAAGACACACTGTTGCTGCTGCCTGCGCGCTGCAGCGGCCTCCCCTTGGTTACAGCAGGGGCTGCAGCCTTCATGCTGCTGCAGCAGACGCTGCTGCAGCACACACAGCAGCAGCAGCAGCCGTTGCTGCTGCTGCTGCTGCTTCTGCTGCTCTTTCCCCAGCCAGGCCAGCACTGGGGGCCCCGCGTGCCCTGGGGGGGCCCCCGCAGCTAAGCATTGCAGCCGGTGCTCAGCAGCAGCTGAAGCAGCAGCAGCAGCTGAAGCAGCAGCAGCAGCAGCTGCAGCAGCAGCAGCATAACACGCAGGAGCGCCAGCAGCTGCAGCAGCTGCAACACCGGCATCAGTTGCAGCAGCAGCAGCAGCAGAGCCATTTACAGCTCTGGCAGAGACAGGTCCAGCTGCGACAGCAGCACAGACTGCAGGAGCAGCAGCAGCGCCTTGTGCAGCAGCAGCAGCAGCAGCAGCAGCAGCAGCAAAAGCAGCAAAAGCAGAGCTGCTGCAGCGTAAGAACGGCCTGCACAGCTTTGGGTGATTCCTATTCCTCCGCGGGGTCTTTGTGTGGTGCTGCTGCTGCAGCAGCAGCTGCGGACGCTCTAGCAGCAAGTGAAGCAGCAGCAGCAGCAGCTGCAGAAGCAGCAGCAGCAGCAGCAGCAGCAGCGCAAGATGCAGAACGGGTGCTGACAGCTGCACCAGTAGCTCCCGTGGCAATGCATGCAGCAGCAGATTGTGGGGCCCCAACAGCAGCAACAGCAGCGGCAGCAGCTGCTGCTGCTGCAGCTGCTGCAGCTGCTGCGGATGGCTGTGAACCGTCAGCAGCAAAGTACAAAAGGATAGACCCCTTAGAAGCTGCGGAAGAGATTAGGGGGAGCAGCAGCAGCAGCAGCAGCAGCAGCAGCAGCAGCAGCAGCAGCAGCAGCAGAATCCCCTCAAGGCAGCCAGAAGAGCTGCTGCTAAAGGATGCTGCTTCGGAGAGTGCCAAAATCGGCAGCAGCTCTTGCTGCTGCAGATTGGGAGGCCCTGGCAGCAGCACATGTGACGAGTCAGCTCTCTGGAGCAGCAGCAGCAGCAGCAGCAGCAGCAGCAGCAGCAGCAGCTTTGGCCGCTGCAAAGACAGCCCGCTGTGCAGCAGCGACGAGGAGACAAGAGGCGTCTCGAGGCTGCAGCAAAGCACAGCAGCAAGTGCTGCATCTCTGCAGGAGCTGCAGCAAGACCAGCAGCAGCAGCAGCAGCGGCAGCAGCCCGAGCTGCTGCAGCAGAGGCAGCAGCCGCAGCAGCAGCACCAGCCGTGGCAGTCTGTCTGTCCTGACAAACTTCCACCGGAGGAACCGGGTGCGCTCCAGAAGCAGCAGCAGCAGCAGCAGCAGCAGCAGGAACGGGAGCAGCAGCAGCAGCAGCAGCAGCGCGTTCAGCAGCAGCGGCGCTCTTCGTTGGGTCCTCAGGCAGCAGCGGCTAGCGGCTTCTGGGGTAGCAGCAGCAGCAGCAGCAGCAGCTGCTGCAGGCGCAGCAACAGCAGCAGCAGCAGCTACAGAGGATTAAGAGGCTGCTTAGACTTACAGGACGAGTTGGGGAGGTTTCGGGAAACAGCGCAGCAGCAGCGAGAGGCGCTGGAGCAGCAGGAGCTGCTGCTGCAGCAGCAGCAAACCACGCTGCAGCAGCAGCAGCGGCTTATCCAGGTGCTGCAGGTTAGGCTGGCTTCCTTAGGTGCTGCTGCTGCAGCAGATGCAACATCTCAGCGCAGGTCGCCTGCAGCAGCAGCTCACAGAAGCAAGGCTGCTGCTGCAAAGCGCCACCGCCAGCAGCAGCAGCAGCTGCAGCAGCAGACAGAAGCTGGCAGCAGCAGCGGCAGCAGCAGCAGCGGCAGCAGCATAAAAGACAGCCGCAACAGAGGAGAGGCAGGAAGTCCACTGCAGTTTTTTGAGAACGAGCTGCAGATGCAGCAGCAGCACCTACAGCAGCAGCAGCAGCAGCGACAGCAGCAGCAGCAGCAGCACTGCGAGACGCAGTACTTTACTTTGGCCAGCGACACCAGCAGCATGAGCAGCAGCAGCAGCAGACAGGGGTCAAAGGGCACTCCTGACTGCAGCAGCAGAGAGCTGTCTCCCCGCAGCAGCAGGAGCAGCCGCAGGAGCAGCAACAGCAGCAGCAGCAGCAGCAGGGGCAGCTGCAGCAGGAACAGCAGCAGCTGCCGCGACCGAAGCAGCACCCCAATGGGCAGAGACTGCAGCAGTAGCGATCCGAATTGCGTGCAGGGCCAGCTTCAGCTTCAGCAGCAGCAGCAGCAGCAGCAGCAGCAGCAGCAGCAGCAGCATCCACAACAGCAGCAGCTGCAGCAAGAGGTACCAAGCAGCAGAAGCCCCCAGCAGGAGCCTCTGTATACATATGTTTGCGACCAGAAAGGCGCTGAGGCCCCAGCAGCAACAGGAGCAGCAGCAACAGGAGCAGCAGCAGCAGCAGCAGCAGCAGCAGCTGCTGCCCCCTTGACGGGATGGCTTGCTGCGCGCACCCCTGGTGGGTTTCCTCGCTGTGCGTATATCTCGAAAGCAGCAGCAGCAGCAGCAGCAGCAGCAGCAGCAGCAGCACGTACAGGCAGCCATGTGGCTTTGGCGCTGCAAGCGCCTGTTGCAGCTACTCCGAGAGCAGCAGCACCTTATAGCAGCAGCCCGGGGGCTGCAACAGCAAACGTTGCAGCAGCAGCAGCTGCTGCAGCACCCACTGTTGCTGCAGCAGCAGCAGCAGCACGTGCTGCTGCTGTTGCTTCTGCTTCATTTTCCATGCCGCCTGAGAAGCCGCTGTCCGCCGTAAGTACAGCCGAGAAAGACTTGAGAGCTGCAGCAGAAGAAGCAGCAGCAAGGGCAGCAGCAACAGCAGCAGCAGCAGGTGCAGCAGGAGCGGATGCTGCAGCAGCAACAGCAGGTGCAGCAGCAGGAGCAGCAGACCAGTGGCTGCAGCAGTGGCTGCAGCGCAGCCACAAGCGTGGGGCCCTGAGTGTGTCTTCAGTAAGTTCGAGGGCCCCGTCGAATTACGACAGTGAGTCGGAGCAGCCTGCGCTGCAGCAGCAGCAGCAGCAGCAGCAGCAGCAGCAACAGCAGCAGCAGCAGCAGCAGCAGCAGCAGCAGCAACAGCAGCAGCAGCAGCAGCAGCAGCAGCAGCAGCAGAGCAGCAGCGCGGCTGGTGCTGCGCCAGTGGGGCAATACTGCATGCTTACTTCGCCCAGGTCTTTGCTCTCCCCTGCACTCCTGCACAGAAGCTCAGTGCTGCAGCAGCAGCAGCAACTGCAGCAGCAGCAACTGCAGCAGCAGCAACTGCAGCAGCAGCAGCTACCGTAGCAGCTGCAGCAGCTGACGCACCTGCAGCAAGAGCAGAAGCAGGAATAGCGAAGCCACCTGCAGCAGCTGCAGCAGCAGCCAGATTGATAAGCAGCAGCAGATGCTGCTCTTTTTGCCTTGACTACCGCTGCTGCTGCTGCTGCTGCTGCTGCTGCTGCTGCTGGCAGTGCGTTACAGCAGCAGCAGCAGCAGCAGCAGCACAGTTTTAAATGAACAGTCAATCGACTACGAACAGATCAGTGCGAAGTACTTCTTGCGTTTGAAACCCCAAACCCTAAACCCTAAACCCTAAACCCTAAGCCACAAACCCTAAACCTTAAGCGCTAAGTCCCAAGCCCGGCCTAAATAGGAAACCCTAAACCCTAAACCCTCGGCGCGAGGTTTCAAACCCTAAACCCTAAACCCTAGGCCAGACGCCAGGCAAACCGCCACGCAGCTAGGGTTTAGGGTTTAGGGCCTTAACCGCAAGCCCTAACACTAAACCCTAAACCCTCGGTGCGAGGTTTGTCCGCTGCTGCAGCTGCTACTGTAGCTGCTGCTGCTGCAGCTGTTGCTGCATCTGCTGCTGCATCTGCTGCTGCTGCAGTTGCTGCTGCTGCAGTTGCTGCTGCTACTGCTGCTGCAGCACTCAGGGTTTAGGGTTTGCGCATCTGCGGGGATGCGCATGCAGTAGCGTTTACATTTCATTAGAAAGCCCTGGGGTTTAGGGTTTAGGGTTTAGGGTTTAGGGTTTGTTAAACTGCTTTCCCCTTTTACTTCTTCCCGTCTTTGCTGCTACTGCTGTTGCTGTTGCTGCTGTTGCTGCTGCTACTGTCGCTGCTGCTGGAACAGTTGCTGCTGCTGCTGCTGTTTCGGCTGCTGCTGCTGCCGCTAGTGTTAGTCTTGCTGCAGCTGCTGTCACTGTTGCTGCTGCTGCTGTAACTGTTGCTGCTGCTGTTGCAGCTGTTGCTGCTGCTGCTGCTGCTGCTGATCTGCCTCCTGAGTCTCTGGACCTTTGGCTGCCCACTGTGGTTTATTTTGCTGCTTGTGTCTCTAACTGTTTTGCTGCGGGCAGCGGCGCCAAACCCTAAACCCTAAACCCTAAACCCTAAACCCTAAACCCTAAACCTTTCTGCTGCCCTGTCTCCCTCCCCCCGCGATTACACGGGTGTGCGGCTCTTAGCAGGGACTCTGCAGTGTGTTGGGAGCCGAGGGAGGTCTAAACCCTAAACCCTAAACCCTAAACCCTAAACCCTCGGTGAGGGGGAGGCGCTGCTGGGCGCCCCGGGGAGCTGGCGGGCGCTGCTGCTGCCGTTTTGCTTCTTTTTTCTTTCTTAATAATAAATTAAATATAAATTAAATATATTTATTATTTTTAAGCAGCAAATTAGCATCTTTTTGCTGCATCTGAAGTGCTGCTGCTGCGGCGGACAGGGGGGAGGCCGCTCCCCGGGGGTGCTTGTCCACTGGTCTGCTGCTGCTGCTGCTGCTGCTGCTGCTGCTGCTGCTGTTGCTGCTGCTGCTGCATCTGTTTTTTTCTTGATTTTGCTGCCGATTTTCTTCCGTTTTCATTTCAGGGTTTGGCTGCTGCTGCTGCCTGCCCTAGACATCCTGGCGCCTGCAGTGAAGCAGCAAAACGAAGCAGCAGCAGCAGCAGCAGCAGCAACAGCAGCAGCAGTGGCATTTTGTTGCTGTCCCTACTTTTACCTTCCTAGCGGGTTCGTCTTTTCCTGCCCTCGCTTCAAGGGTTTAGGGTTTAGGGTTAGGGGTAAGGGTTTAGGGTTTAGGGTTTAGGGTTTAGGGTTTCGCCCCCTACAAGGCCGCGGCAATGCTCTCCAAGCTGCAGACAGCCACTGGCGGCTTCACAGAGGAAGAGCCCTATTTGTGGGGCCTTCCCTTATCAGGTGCTGCAGTAATTGCTGCTGCTGCTGCTGCTGCTGCTGCTGCTGTTGTTGCTGCTGCTGCTGCTGCTGCTGCTGTTGCTGTTGCTGTTGCTGTTGCTGCTGCTGCTGCTGCTGCTGCTGCTGCTGCTGCTGCAACTTCGAGGCTCCGCGGCTGTGTGTGTGTTTGCTGCTTGAGGGTCATCAGTTGTCTTTTGTTTTTTAATTTCTTTAATTTCTTTTATTACTTTTATTTTTTATTTTTTATTTTTAATTTCTTCTTCTTTTTATCTTTTTTGTCTTTTGCCTCTTTTGCTTCTTCCCCCCATTTATGTGTCTCTCGTCTCCCGTGTCTTATTGCTTTTCTCTTCCTGCTGCTGCTGTCGAGTGTGCATCCCGTTGCCGCTGCCTCCTCCGCCACGTCTTTTCTCATTGTTTTGCTGCTGCCGCAGCAGCAAAACAATTAACTAATTAATTAATTAATTAATTATTTATTTATTTATTTATTTATTTATTTATTTATTTATTTATTTATTTATTTATTTCAGATGCTTCGAGCCCCGAAGAGCTTTCGCCTCGGCGGATAAGTTTGGGGGTGGAGGAGACGCTGTCTGTACACTCGACGCCCACGCAGTCTGCGGAGCCCACGGACCCCTGCAGCAGCAGCAGCAGCAGCCTTGCTGCTGCTGCTGCTGCTGCTGCTGCTGCTGCTGGGGGCCCTGCTGCTGCGGCAGCAGCAGGCCTCCAGGTGGCGGGCACGGCGGCGGCAGCAGCCGTGTTTGACGCGCTGCACGCCTCAAAGCGGGATTTTGCTGCTGCTGCTGCTGCTGCTGCTGCTGCTGCTGCTGCTGCGCCCGCCCCCACTCCCGCTGCTGCTGCTGCTGCTGCTGCTGCTGCTGCGCGACCGCTGCTCAAGAGAAGATTTGTGGGGTTGGAAGCAACTGTGGTGCTTTCGGGGGGCGCTCTTGAGGTGTACATACACTCGCCGCTGCTGGAGGGCCCCTGCGCAGCAGCAGCAGCAGCAGAAGACGGGGTTTCGGGTGTACAGACAGCTCTCAGCAGCAGCTTGTTTGATGAGGAGCAGGAAGATGACCTCTTTGCTTCTTCTGCTGCTGCTGCTGCTGCTGCAGGCAGCTGCTGCAGCAGCGCGGACTTCGAGGCCGGCTGCGCGGCGGCCGCGGCCCAGCAGCAAGACAGGTACTGCCGCCCGCTGCTGCAGCAGCAGCAGGCGCCGCAGCAGCAGGAGCAGCAGCAGCAGCAAAAGCCGCAGCTGCTGCAGCAGTGCAGCTGCTGGCCCTTTGCATGCGCGGAAACCTGCGGGCAGCAAGAAGCAGCAAGATGGAGAGGAGACATTATTTTGGGGTCTCCTCCGGGCCTTAATTGTCCCTGCTGCATTCGCCAGGGGATAGCTGCTGCGCCCCCAGCAGCAGCAGCAGCAGCAGCAGCAGCAGCAGCAGCAGCAGCAGCAGCGGCGGCAGCGCCGACCGCTGCGGCTTCGTCGCAGCAGTCAAAGACACTAGCGGCGGCACCAGCTGGCAGCTGGCGAGCCCACCAGCAACAACAGCCACAGCAGCAGCAGCAGCAGCAGCAGCAGCAGCAGCAGCAGCAGCAGCAGCAACAGCAGCTGCAACAGGTTGCATGGACCGAGACAGAGGCTTTTATCACTCGGCATTCTCTTTCTTCCGGCGATGCTTCTTGTCTGGCAGCGGACATTTGCACCTGTTGAGCAGCAGCAGCAGCAGCAGCAGCAGCAGCAGGACCTGCTGCTGCTGCTGCTGCTGCAGCTGCGCTCTCCGCAGGGGCAGGCCGATGGCAGCAACAGCAGCTGAGCTGCTGCTGCGCCGAATGCGCTCCTGCGTTTGGCCCTCAACTTGGCGAAGTGGCCGGGTTTTCTTGTAACAGCAGCATCTGCTGCAGCAGCAGCAGCAGCAGCAGCAGCAGCAGGGACAAAGGAGCCAAAGCAGCGAAAAGGCTGCAGTTAATACAGTGCCTGTGGGGTGTACGTACACCCCGAGAACTTTTGCTCTGAGAGTGCTGAAGCTGCTGCAGGTCATGCTCAGGTGCCGCTTTGCAGCTGGAAGAGCAGCAGCAGCAGTTGCTGCTGCTGCAGCAGCAGCAGTTGCTGCTGCAGCAGCAGCAGCAGCAGAGCAGCGGCAAAAGGAGCAGCAGCAGCCCCGCCGGCAAAGTCGCGGGCTGCATGCGCTGCAGCAGCAACAGCAACAAGGAGTAGCAGGTGCTCGTGTTGCATCCGTTTCTTTTCTTTTTTGGTCTGCAGCAGCAGTAGCTGCAGCAGGTGCTGCAGCGGCAGAATTTAGCAGCAGCAGCAACAGCAGCAGCAGCAAGAGAAGGACTTGATTTTGTGGTTCGCACTGTGGAGTTTAATGCGAGGTGTACATACACTCGACGCGGCACGTAACAAGTTTTTTCAGCTGCTTCAGCTGCTGCTGCTGCTGCAGCTGCTGCAGGTTTTTCAGCTGCTGCAGCTGCTACCGCTGCTGCAGCAGCTGCAGGTTTTTCCGCTGCTGCAGGTGCTGCGGCTGCTGCAGCTGCTGTTTTTGCTGCAGGGTCTGGTGCTGCGCTTCGTTGGGATCTGCTGGGGACCAGCAGCAGCAGCAACAGCAACAGCAGCAGCAGCAACAGCAGCAGCAGCAGCAGCAGCAGCAGCGCGTGCCTCTGCTTCTGCTCCTCGTTGAGGTTTCTGGTCTGCTCAGAGGGATTAATTAATAGAAGAATTAATTAACTAATTATTAAGGAGGCAGCAGTTTTAAATTTCTGTTTGCCAAAGCAAATGCATGCAGTGTCATTGACGGGTTTGCAGCAGCTGCTGCAGTGTATCTGCAGCAGCAGCAGCTGCTGCTGCAGTGTACGTACACCGCAGCTGCTGGGTTTATGTTTGTTTTTTGCCAGCGGACCCGATGCAGCAGGTGAAGAGGGAAGGACAGCACTAGTTTTTGCGTCTGTTTGCTGCTGCAGCAGATTGCTGCAGCTGCTGCTTGCTTCGTCGAGGGCAGGCGCAGCAGCAGCAGCAGCAGCAGCAGCAGCAGGCGTTCGAGCAGCGGCCGCTGCAGCAGCACGGTGCAGCAGCCCCAACAACATAAACACCGCAGCAACGGAAACAGAAGGCACAGCAGCAGCAGAGGCGCAGCAGCAGCAGAAGCAGCAGCAGCGGCTGCAGCAAGATGTAGCAGCAGCAGCAGCAGGAATAGCAGGAGCAAAGCAGCGAATCAGAAGACAGGAAGAGCTGCAGCAACAGCATCATTTAGCAGCAACAAGCATGAGACTACTGCAACAGCAGCAGCGGCAGCAGCAACAGCAGCAACAGCACAGCTAGTAGGAGCAGAAGACACCTGTTAGCTACGGCGAAGACCACAAGAATAGCCGCAGCAGCAACAGCAGCAGCAGCAGCAGCAGCAACCCGTGTAGCGTAAGCAGCAGCTAGCAGCAGCAGGTGAAAGTGACGCCACAGCAGCAGGGGCTGAAGCGGCGGCAGCAGCAGCAGCAGCATCAGCAGCAGCAATGCGTTTAGGAGCAGCAGCAGCGCGCAAAGCAGCAGCAAACTAGGAGCAAAGATACGGAAGCAGGGATACCTGAGGGCGCAGCAGCAGCAATTGCTGTAGCAGCAGCAGCATATCTAGCAGTTACAAGTGCAGTGGTCACAGCAGCAGCAGCAGCAGCAGCAGCGGTATAGCAGCAGCTGAAGCAGCAAACGTAGAAGCAGAGGGGGCTGCAGCAGCAGCAGCAGCACATTTGATGACCTCGGGAGAAGTAGAAGCACCAAGGGCAGCGGACATAGCAGCAGCAGCGGTTGCAGCAGCAGCAGCAGCAGCAGGAGCAGCACATGTAGCAGCAGCAGCTTAAGAGGAATGAAGCAGCAGCTCTCTAGCAGCAGTAGCAGCGGCTACAGCAAAAGCAGCAGCAACGAATGTAGAAGCAGCAGCAGCAGCAGCAGCAGCAGCAGCAGCAGCGCATATAGCAGAAACGAACGAAGTTTTAGCAGCAACAGGAGATGCGGGCCTGCACCTAGGATTTGCTGCAGCAACAGCAGCAGCACCACCGGTGCCGTATTTTAACAGCAGCAGCAGCAGCAGCAGAAGACACAGCATCACGGACAGCAGCATGCATTGCTGCAGTGGCAGAGCAGTCTGCAGCAACAGCAGCAGGGCTCGTAGCAGCAGCAGAGCACAGCAGCAGCAGCACATGTAGCAGAAGCAGGAATCAGTCGAAGCAGCAGCAGCCGCAGAGGCAGAAGCAGCAATAGGAGCAGAAGCAGCAGCAGAAGCAGAAATAGCAGCAGGAGCCGAATCACCGGCAGCAGCAGCAGCAGCAGCAGCAGCAGGAATGGAAGCAGCAGCAGAAGCAGCAGCAGCAGAAACGGAAGCAGGAGCAGAAGCAGCCGCAGCGGAAGCAGCAAAAGCGACAGAAGACACAGCAGAAGAAGAAGCAAAAGCCGCAGAAGAAGCACAGTCAGCAGAGGAAGCAGCAACAAACGCAGCAGCAGCAGCTGCAGCAGAAGCAGGAGCAGCAGAAGCAGCAGAAGCGGCAGAAGAAGCAGCGGCAGCAGCGTAAGTAGCAGATAGAACGAACGTAGCAAGGCCTGGAGGGCGCAACGTAGTTAGCAGCAGCAGCTGCTGCTGCAGCCGCTGCAGCAGCAGCTGCTGCAGTGGAGGTAGAAGCAAATGCAGGCAGCAGCAGCACTAGGTGCTTTGGCAGGCGCAGCAGCAGCAAGTGCTGCTGGAAGCGCAGCAGCAGCAGCCAAAGTATTAGCAGCAGTAGTTTGCATAGTAAGCCCGTTGAGTGCAGAAACAGCAGCAGCAGCAGGCAGCGCTGCAGCAGCAACAGTAGCAACAGCAGCAACAGTAGCAACAGCAGCAGCAAATGTATAGCAGAAGCGATGCTGCTGCAGCAAGAATGCGCAGCAGCAAGGGAGCAGCTTCGAAGCAGGTGCAGCAGTAAAGTAGCAAAAATGTAGTTCACGTAGCAGCGGAGCAGCAGCAGCGCAGCAGCATAGCAGCAGCATAGCAGCAGCAGCAGCAGCAATGCAGCAGTGCTGCAGCGCAGCAGCAGCACTGCGGCAACGACAACGGCCGCACCGCAGCAGCGGCGCTGTAGCAGCAATAGTTTCGAAAGCAGCTGGGAAGAAACAGCAGCAGCACAAAGTATTTATTCATTAGTAGGCTAGTAAGGCAGGGATGAGCAGCTGCAGCAGCAGCAGCAGCAGCTGCTGCTGCAGCAGAGGCAGCTGCAGCAACAGCAGCGCAGGCTTGGCAGCAGCATTTGCAGCTGCTGCAGCAGAAGAGCATCCCCAGCGCTGCGGTAGCAATTGCAGCAGCGGCAGCTACGGGAAGAGGAGCGCCAGCGTGCAGCAGCAGCAGCAGCTGCTGCTGCAGCTGCAGCAGCACCAGCTGCAGCAACAGCGTCTGCTGCAGCAGTAGGCTCTTTGCTGCGTTGATAGCATGCTGCAGATGTATTTGTAATGGCGAGTGCAGCAACAGCAGCAGTCGCAGCAGCAGCAGCAAGAAGCGCAGCAGGAGCAGCAGCAATGGTTGCAGCGGCAGCAGCAGGAGCAGCAGAGTTATCAATAGCAGCAAAGCCTTGCAGCAGCAACATTAGAAGACAGGAACTCGTGCAGCAGCAGCAGCAGCAGCAGCAGCGAGAGGCGCAGCAGCAGCGCAGCAGAGCGTTACCTTCGCCTTCCAAGAAGCGGAGGTGTCTTAATATAACTGATTACGCTTATTGCTATTTTTGCTGCAGCAGCTGCTGCTGCTGCTGCTGCTGCGACGCCAGCAGCAGCAAGCGCAGCAGCCGGAGCAACGGCAGCAGCAGCAGCTGCTGCAGCAGCTGCTGCAGCAGCTGCTGCTGCTGCACCAACAAGACTTTTTTGTGGCGCCGGAATAAAACGCTGCGGCCAATTTTTTGTGCATTCAGGCTGCAGCAACTTTTGCTGCTGCTGCTGTTGCTGCTGCTGTTGCTTCGGCTGCTGCTGGTGCGGTGTGCTGCTGTCAGCGGCTTCTTGTGCAGCGCCACAGCAGCAGCTGCAGCACAGCAGCAGCAGCAGCAGCAGCAGCAGCAGCATCGCAGCAGCAGTGCAGTAGGAGCTCCCTAACGGCTGGACAGCGACCAGCAGCAAAGACGTGCTGCTGCTTCCAAGTTGCTGCTGCTCTTTTCTTTTGTTTGCGTTTTTTGCTCTCTGCATTCGCCTTCAAGCTAGCTATCTAGCTAGCTAGCTAGCTAGCTGGCTAGCTAGCTAGCTAGCTGACTAGCTAGCTAGGTAGCTAATTTGCTGACTAGCTAGCTAGCTAGCTAGCTAGCTAGCTAGTTAGCTGACTAGCTAGCTAGCTAGCTAGCTAGCTAACTGAATGCCCAAGTAGCTAGCTGGCCCATTCGTCCTTGCTGTTTAGTCTGTGGTGTGTTGTTCTTTTGGTAGCTAGCTGGCTAGCTAGCTGTCCAGCTAGCTAGGCAGCTAGCTAGCTGGACAGCTAGCCAGCTGGCTAGCTAGCTGGCTAGCCAGCTAGCTGGGTAGCTAGCTCGCTACCTAACAAGCTGCTGTGCTGCTGAGCTTCAGATGCCCAATTGCGTCCACTGCATCATCTCTGTGTGCTGCTGCTGCTGCTGCTGCTGCTGCCGCTGCTGCTGCTGCTGCGTTGCCTGGTGCTGCTGATGCTTTGCTGGCTGCTGCTGCTGTTACGGCCACGCTTGTTGTGTACCTTTCTGCAGCTACTGTTGCTGCGGCTGGTGTGTCGCTGCTGCTGCTGCTGCTGGTGTGTCGCTGCTGCTGCTGCTGGAGCTGTGCTGCTGCTGTGCTGCTGCTGTGCTGCCGTTCCTGCGGGTTCGGCGCTGCTGCTGAGCTTTTTGACAGCAGCACAGCCTTCTGTTTCTGCTTAACTTTATAAATAAGACTAAATAAAAGAGTAGCTCTCATTTGCTGCAGTGTGTTGCTGCTGCTGCTGCTGCTGCTGCTGCTGCTGCCGCTGCTGGCAACACAGCAGGAATAGCTGCTAGCGCTCCCGCAAAAAATGGCAGCACCGGCAGCAAAAATTGCAGCAGCAGCAATGGCAGCAGCAACAGCAACAGAAGCCACACCAGATACACGCAGCTCTAAACCCTAAACCCTAAACCCTAAACCCTAGCCTGACCATTCTGGGGGGCGCTCGAAGGAACCCTGGGGTGCCTCCAAACCCTAAGCCCTACACGCTCGACCTCAAACCCCAAACCCTAAACCCTAAACCCTAAACCCTAATTATTGAGCTTGAAAAAAGTCAGAAGACAATTTATTGCAGAGGCAGCTGCATGCAGCGCTGGCGGTCGACTGCAGCCCCCATAGCGGCAAACCCTAAACCCTAAACCCTAAACCCTAAACACTAGCCCGGCTCTTCTGTAAGCGACGCTTTCAGCATCTGCGCGCTCTGGCTACCCTGGAGTCGTAGCTAACTTCCAGTATTGAGTGTTTAGGGTTTAGGGTTTAGGGTTTAGGGTTTAGGGTTTAGGGTTTAGGGTTTAGGGCTTAGGGTTTGTGTCGGCGCTGCCGACTCGCGGCGCTGTAGGGTCTGTGGTTTGGCCTTCCCGCTAGTATGGGGTGTCTGTGAAGCCTCCGCCGCCGCAGCAGCAGCCGCAGCAGCAGCAGCAGCAGCAGCAGCAGCAGCAGCAGCAGCAGCAGCAATGGCGCTGCGGCTGTTTCAAAAACTCAACAGCAACGTCAAGGGCAGGCTGGGGGCCCTCGAGGCGCAGCTGCAGGCAGACACGCTGCTGGGGCGGCTGCAGTCTGGCTTTGCGCCTTTGCTGCCGGAGCCAGCAGCAGCAGCAGCAGCAGCAGCAGCAGCAGCAGCAGCAGCAGGGGGGGCAGGGGCTGGGGGGAGGCGGCAGCTTGGGCTGTCGCAGCTGCAGCACGCGCAGATCATTGAGGTCGACGATGCTGCTGCTGCTAAGCTGCAGCAAATCGCGCAGCAGCTGCTGCTGCTGTGCAAGCAGCTGCAGCGGCAGCATCTGCAGCAGGCAGCCACGGAGCAGCAGCAGCAGCAGCAGCAATGGACCCCCTCAGCAGCAAAGACGGGGCCCTTGACTCCTGTGGGGTCTCACCAGCACAGCATTGAGCTGCTCTGCAACATGCTGCTGCTGCGGTCTCCCGCCGCAGGCAGCAGCAGCAGCAGCAGCAGCAGCAGCAGCAGCAGCAGCACGGCGTCACCCGCAGTAGAAGAAGCAATTCAAACAGCTCTAGAAGTGCTGCTGCTGCTGTGCGAGCCGCCGCCTCTTGTTAGCATGGTTATTGAGCAGCAGCAGCAGCAGCTGCAGCAGCAGCAGCAGGACGCTGCGGTGCCTGCTGGTGCCTTTGCAGCAGCAGCAGCAGCAGCACCAGCAGCGACTGCAACAGCAGCAGCAGCAGCAGAGTGGGCCAGCGCCTTCGAAACGGCGGAAGATTTGCATGTGTTTGCTGCGCTGCAGCGGGGGCCACCTGCAGCAGCAGCAGCAGCAGCAGCGGAAGGCACAGGCAGCAGCAGCAGCAACAGCAACGATGCTGCAGCAGACACTGCGGAAGCTCGACACAAGAGGCTGGCAGCAGCTGCTGCTGCTGCTGCTTCTGCGGGCATTCCTGCAGGCGCTGCAGCAGCTGCAGCCCTGTCTCCCACGGACAAAAACGCAGCAGCAGCAGCAGCGGCTGCTGCTGCTGCTCATTTGCTGCTGCTGCGGCGTGTCTGCTGCAGCACGGGGGGCGGCGAAGCCCTAGTGCTGCTGCTGCAGCTGGGCAACAGTGAGCTGCAGCTAGACTGTCTGCTGCTGCTGCGTCGGCTGCTGCAGTGCAGCAGCAGCCTGGAGCTCTACGAGCAGCAGCAGCAGCAGCAGCAGCAGCAGCAGCAGCAGCAGCAGCTAGCAGCAGCTGTGGCCGAGGCCTGCTCACAGGGGGGCAGCTGCATGCAGCAGCTAACAGCAGCACTGGGGGCTGAGGGCCCCACAGCAGAGGCCCTGAGGGCCAATGCGCTGCAGCTGCTGCAGCTGCTGCTGCAGCAGTCGCCTCCCTTGAGGGCTGCATGCACGATACAGGTGAGGTGTGGGGTCAGCAGCAGCAGCAGCAGCAGCAGCAGCAGCAGCAGCACAGCCGAAGAGACATGCGACGCGCAGCTTGCTTCAACCCACACTCTGCTGCTTCTGCTGCTGCTGTTGCTGCTGCTGCTGCTGCTGCTGCTGCTGCAGGGGGGCCTTGAGGCGCTGCTGAGGGTTCTGGGTGTCGAGCTGAGCTTTGCGCCTTTGTCGGACGTTTACGCAGCAAATCCAGCAGCAGCAGCAGCAGCTGCTGCTGCTGCTGCTGATAACAGCAGCAGCAACCTTGTTGCTGTTTCCCCTCAGTCTTTAACCGCCCTGCGGTGTCTGCTGCTGCTGGCAGCAGATGAGTACGGCTGCAAGTACATGCGAGAAGCCCAAGTGCTGCAGCAGCTGCTGCTGCTGCTGCGGTTCCTGCTGCAGCAGCTGCTGCAGCACCTTGTCCGGGAGCAGCAGCAGCTGCTGCACGGCGAATTCTCAACTGCAGCAGCCACTCCGGAGAAGCAGCAGGCAGGCAGCAGCAGCAGCAGCAGCAGCAGCAGGCGCAGCGGCGTGGGCAGTGTCTGCAAGGCAGCAAAGCTGCTGCTGCTGCTGCTGCAGCAGTTCGTTGCATGCAAAGAAGTTGCTTCTGCAGACGACGGCGGCATCACAGGGCTGCCCTTTGGCTTCACGCGACTGCAGCACGGCACAGCAGCAGCAGGAGAAAATGAGGGAATAAGCCCCGCAGAGTTCGCCAAGAACTGCGCGGCGCTGCTGCGGTGGGGCTTGCCAGATGCATGCTGCCGCTTTGCTGCTGAGTTTGCTGCTGTGCTGCTGCAGCTGCAGCACCAACAGCAGCGGCTGCTGCAGGAGCAGCAGCAGCAGCAGCAGCAGCAGCAACAGCAGCTGCTCCAGCACTGCCACACCGCCAAACTAATTCTTGTGGAGGCACTGGAACTGCTTGTGTCTGCTGCCAGAGGCGCTGGGCCCCAAGCAGCAGCTGCTGCGCTGTGCCCGGTGCAGCAGCAGCAGCAGCAGCAGCAGCAGCAGGAGCCGCTGTCGTCTCTTGTGCATGCGGCACTCCTCTCAGCAGGCGATTCTGTGCTGCAGCAAGTGCTGCTGTCTTCGACAGACTTGGTAAGAGGAGGTTTGGAAGGGCTGTGGCTGAGGGTTTAGGGTTTAGGGTTTAGGGTTTAGGGTTTAGGGTTTGCGGTCTCTTTGGGTCACTGGCTACGAGCACGAAAGAACCAACTTCTGCTGCTGCTGCTGCGGCTGCTGCAGCTTCTTGCAGGCAATGCGTTGCTGCAGCAGCAGCTGCTGGGGCAAATTATAGCAGCTCTTGGCAGCATTGAGCTGCAGCCGCTGCTGCTGCAGCTGCAGCAGCAGCAGCGGCACAGTGGGGAAGAGGCCATTTCGAGCATGGCCACTGCAGCAACAGCATTCTTGCTGCCCTTGGCAGGGCAGGGAGAGCAGCAGCAGCAGCAGCAGCAGCAGCAGCAGCAGCGGGAAGTAGCTCCTGCAGGCATGCGTATTGCAGCTCTGCTTCACTGGCTAGCAGGTTTTGCTGCTGCAGCTGCTGCTGCAGCTGAGGAAAAGGCAGCAGCAGCAGCCTCGGCAGCAGCAAGCGACAACCCAAGCAGCTTCTGCAACGGCTTGAGCGCCGC